CTATGGAGATAGGACCAACTCAGTCTTTGATCACCTAAATGTTATTGGGGGAAGGAGGGTGGTGCTCACAGGTCAGGGATCAGTGCCATGTTCAACATCTAACTGGGACTTTTTAGGGAAAGAGCAATGGGTAGAACAGCTAATTATTTGGGGATTGTGAAAGGAAGAGAAAGAGATAGGCTAAGATCAGCACCTGTATAGTACCATCAAGACACTGAATCAGAAGACGGGTATCAAGGCAGATCTAGTAGTGTCTAGTAACAGCCACACAGTCCAGAATGACAGTGGCAACAAGAGTGCATGGGAGAGGGCAGCTAGGTGGTATAGTGGATAGAGTACTGGCCCTGGAGTCAGGAGGACCTGAGTTCAAATCCGGCCTCAGACACATAACACTTCCTAGCTATGTGACTCTGGGCAAGTCACTTTACCCCAATTGCCTCACAAAAAAAAAAAAGAGTGCATGGGAGCAGTACCAACCAAGATCAAATACCAAAGTACCAGAGACTAGACCTATCATGAAGTCAAAATCCAAGAACTAAAGTTGAAAACATGAATAAACAAGAATTTCCATGTGTTGAGAGAAGCCAAGGAGATAAACCCAGACAGAATAACTTAAGAATATATAAAGCAGAGCCTCAAAGGAAAAATGGCTTTACTGTACAATCTCTGAGAGTAGCTAAGTAAAATGAAGCAAACACTTGAAAAAATAAAGTTAGAAATGAGATATATGCAGGGAAAAATAGAAAAGAAGGTAAAACTTGTTCAGATAGTGGACTCTGAAAGAGAGAACAGAGCAACTCAAACTTGGTGATTCCATGAGACAATAGGATTAGAACAAAGTCAAAAAACTAAAAATAAATAAATAAATAAATAAAGATGTAAGACACATACAATGAAAAAAAAAACAGAACTGGGAAACAGATTAAAGAGAGGTAGTTTAGGAATAATTGGACTCCATGAAACTATGACACAATAAAAACCTAGAGACCGTATTTCAAGAAATCATAAGACAAAACTTCCTGCACCTTTTAACAAGTTTCATGTGAGGAACAGCAAGCAGGACAGTGTAGCAGGATTGTAAAGTGCTTGGAGGAGAGTAAAGTATAAAAACGACTGGAAAAGTAGAAAGGAGTCAGACTGTGAAGGTCTTTAAATGTCAAATAAAGCATTTTAAACTTTATCCCTACAATAGAGAGCCACTGAGGTTTATTAAATAGGAAAGTGATACGGTCAAATGTATGCCTTAGAATGTTCATTCTTGCAGGTGGATGGAAGATGGATAGGAGTGAGAGGAGACTTCAGGCAGAGAGACCAGTTAGAAGGATATTGTAGGTAAGAGGTGGTGAGGTCCTGAAAGAGGGGTATAGCTATATGAAAGAAGAGGATATTTATGAAAGACGTTATAAAAGCAGAAATGACAAGATTTGACAATTAATTAGATATGTGGAGTGAATGTGAATGAGCAGTGAAGGATGACATCAAGGCTGTAGACCTGAGTGACCAAGATGATGATGACACTATCAATAGCAGCTGGAAAGTTTGGAAGACTGGAGAATTTAAAGGAAAGACAATCTGGTCAGTTTTGTACCTATTGAGTTAAATGCCTACTGGACACTCAATTCAAGATATCCAAGAGGCAGCTGGTGATCTGGGAATCATCTACATAAAGTTAATAATTAAACCAACACATGAGAATTGATGAAATAACTGAGTGAGATAGTATAGTGGTGGAGGAGGAGAAGGCCCAGTACAATCTTAGGGGAAAACTGACAATAAGTGAATAATGTATGGATGAAGACCCAGCAAAGAATGCTGAGAATGAATAGTTAAACAGATAGAATAAATACACAATTGAAACAGGAGAAAGCAGAGTCATAGAAATCTAGAGAGGAAAGGATGATTGACAGTGTTGAAGGCCACTGAGAGGTCAAGAAGGATGAGAACTGAGAAAAGACCATTAGATTAGGGAAATAAGAGATTCATGATAAATTTGGAGAGAGCAGTATCAGTTGAGTAAGGCTGGAACCTAACTTGTAGAGAGTTTAGAAATGATGGAGGGGGTAAAAAGTCTCCAGATGTAGGTAGCTTTCTCAGGTAATTTTTGCTAAGAGTGAGGAAGAGAGATAGAAAATGGTAGTTAGTGGTGATTAAGGGAAAGTTCTGTAAGGATAGGAAAGATATGGGTGTGATTGTAGGCAGGAGAGAAGAAGACAGCAGAGAGGGAAGTACTGAAGGTTAGAGAGTGGGAATAATGGTGGGGGCAATCTGCTGAATATTAGAGAATGGGATAAAGAGTGAATGCAAAGAGGTTTGCCTTAATAAGGAAAAGGACTACCTGTTCATTCAAGACAGGAATGGAGGAAGAGCTAGTGAGAGAAAATGTGAGAAGTAATGTAAGAAGGGAAGGAGGGGAGAAGATAGTGCTTTCAGAGCATGGCCTCATTTTTTGGGGTTAAATACAATAAATCTGGGTGGAATGGTGATAGCTTCTGGTAACTATACCAAGTACAGAGGTATATATATTGCCTTTCACTGGGCAATCATGGACTTTCTCTTCCCGCTATAACCTGAAGACCATCACACTCAAAGCTCTGGCAATATACCTGCTGCCCTCTTTACTCTTCTCTTCTCTGTCATGGTTCATAGGTTTTGGCTACTACCCTGGTTTTATTGGGTGATACTTTTCAAATTTTGAAGGTCTTGGCTGATGCCCTAGTTTGAAGTCACTGTCCTGGTATTCTTCCCTTGATGACCCTGCCTGCCATGATTAAGCCAAGGAGCCTTTTCTCATGCATGAAAATGGTGGGGAAAATTACTTCATATTAAATGGCCCAAATCTTATTAAGCCCCAAACATTGCATTCCCAAACATCAAAACTGTGCATCAAACAATTTTTGGGTCTTCTCCCTGCACCACCCTTAAACTTCCTTCACCATTTGTAAGGTAACCTTCCATTGAAGTTGGGTCCTATGGCTTGACTGTTTTGGTCACATTTAATGCAAAAATAGTTAGTTGTTATTATCCCTTCCCTCGTGAAGAAGCAACTCCTTCTAAACAGCTTGGATAATTGACTGAAATTTTAGAGATTGATAAGAAAGTGGAGTTACAGAGCTTATGAAAGGAATTGTACCCAGTCAGGTAGGATATTTATTTGAGTCTGTACGGCTGCTCTCTCTGATGTTGCTTTTTAATGTACTTTGAGATGGAAAGTCCACTGGAAAAAAACAAATTTGGTTTGTATTTCATTAAAAGTCAACTTAAGGCATATGTATATAGATATATATGTATAATAAAATTTATGTATATATATATATATAAATTGAATTTCTATTTGCATATGGTTGAGAAAATGCTTTTATATGTATTTTCATGACTGTGTAGTTTTTAACCTTCAGAGAGGTGATTGCAGCAGTCAGTCCCTCAGAAATGCCAAATCCCTTGGCATTCTGGAAGGGTTATACTTTCTATAAAGAAGCTAGAAAATACGATGCATAGAAACAATACTGTGAAACAGTACAGTGAAAAGAATAGCTGCTAGGAGTCAAAGGACCTAGATTCTAGTCCTGACTTTTTACTAATCGTTTGATCTTGAGCAAGTCATATAACTTCTATGATCCTTAATTTCCTCATGTTGAAATGGTTATAACAAATCTATTTGCCTACCTCATAGGTTTGTTGTGGGATAAAATGAAATAATATGAGCATTTTAGCTGTAGAATACTATAGGAATATAAGAATTTATTTTTCTTTAAACCATGAAAAACACTGAAATCTGCTACTTCATTATAATGACAGGCTAGCAAAAATTTCAAAGTACTGATTTTTTGTTTGTTTATGAATTACATCTAGGGTTATAAGAATGGGAAGATATTTTATTTTGCTCCAAATTTTTATAAAGGATTTATTTATTTGTTCTTATTTAGAGAAACTAACTTGTTGATATGCAACACTCTACATACATGCTTATTCATAAAATGTGTATTTACATGTATACTGCACATGAAACATCTCTTGTCTAACAGAAATTTGAGGTCTTATCAACCTCAAGTCATATACAGCATATTTGAAAATACTTCTCTATTACTAAGGTTATCTTGCTTGAGAAGAAATTTTAAACTTTTTGTCTCTTTGGCTCTGGCCAACTCCAAAATCTTTCTGGCATCAGAGTACTGGAGAAGTGAGTATATGCATACAATAAGTGGTGAAAGCATGTATTTCCTGACTTAGTCCATCATAACCCCAAAAGAATAGAGTTAAAGGAGGTATCAATCTGCACATTTGTTTTTTATGATTGCTCCAGGTGCAAATACTAAAAACATAATGATGTAGAACAAGAAATTCATAAATAAGACTATCAAATCATTTAAAAAATTATCAGTGAGTACATTTGGTCCTGATAGTACCTTTTCTTTCACAGATAAAATAGTTTATAAACATCTGTCAAAAACATTCTCCTATATCAGATTGAGCACCATTCTTGGGGAGGGAGCAGGGGAGGGAGAGGGAGAAAAATTTAAAACTCAAAAGCTTATGAAAGTGATTGTTGATAAATCAAAATTAATTAATAAAAAATTAAAAACAAAAAAATCTCAATTTATAGTCTTCCCCCCATCCAAGGAATATGATAAAAGTTTATCTCTCAGCATAAAAATTGTTTCTCCATTTTATGCATTAGTATTTAATTTTTTAATTAAATTAATTAAATTTAAGAATGGCTCACATTACCAGCATCAAACAATGAAGTGACTGGATTTTTTTTTACATAATTTTATTTAAGATTTTGGCTTACTGGCTAATTACTTTACTTTGCTTTTCTTGTCTATCTCAAAGAAATATTAAGGATTAAATGGTTATCAAATGACAAGATCAGGTGCTAGAATTTACTAGGAACAAAACTAATCTCTTTTTAGTTCAAAGAAAAATTTAAAACTGAAGGAGACAAAGACAACACAAAAATAACTCATTCTGATAATTTTGGCTTGTGCCGTTGTCTCTCTTACCTTTCAGCCTCAGCCCTTTGCCATAACATACCAGGTCCTGGTACAGTTGGTGAGAGATAGGAACAAAACTACCCAGTTCAAAGACAGAAATCTCCTCTCTCTTAAGACTTTAGAATATTAGCATTTGATACTGCCTGGGTAACAGGAATCTAAGCTCTTTGTCCTCTGGATGTAACCTGGCAACCTGTCAACAAAAAGAATGTGACTGGGTTTTGCAGCCGCTGATTGGACAAGTTTAAAACAAAAATGAAGGAACTAAGCAACAAATAATGAAAATAGGTAGAGGCTGCAACTTTCTCACAAACTAACCTGTAAGACTAACTCCTATATTCTGCCCAAAGGAATAGATGGAAAACAAAATACCAAAGGCTCTTTAGTAGGGAAAGCAAAAGGGAATAGAACGTGCTTCTTTAATAAACAGATTTTTCTTTTGTGTTATTTGCATTAAGATGTTTACTTAATCTCTTTTTCTCTAGAAAAGATCCTTAAAGATCCTCCTTTGTCTAGAAGAACTTAGGTCTAGTTGAGGTGTATGCTACTGGGTCACAAAGCATTAGTTTTGAATAAGTCCAAAATGCAAGTCACACCAAAATATAGGGTTTTTGAAAATGTATATTTTCATTATAAATCTGAATCCATGTTAAAATAAGCAAAAGAAACATGTGTAAAAATATCCACAAAACGATGATTTACTTGATGCAAAAGTTTACTGTTCTTTTTTCCTGTTATGCCAATCAAAAATGGATGACAGAAGTCACCTATAGGGCTGTTAATTCTGTTTAAGTAACTCATGGAACATAAAGTTTAACTGAACTAGGTGACCTCTGAAGGATTTTCTAACTTTAAAGTTTTGTTATTATATTAAATACTCCACAGTATAATTATCTGTAGGTGGAGGTAATCTGGGATAGTGAGTTCACTGATAGAGGAAACTTCTTCTATCAATGTAGGTCAGTACACTCTCTGAATATTAAGGTCTTAAAGAGTTGCCAAGAGCACTGAGAGATTAATTGATTTGTCCAACTATCACACATACAGGTGGGACATGAACCCAGATCTTCCTGACTTCAAAGCCAGCGCCATCCACAACACTACATTGCTTCTCCAGTGAGTAGAAATGATAAGATATCTTACTAAAACTCTTTGCATTCATGTACTTCCTATTCATCTCTTGCTTTCAAAATCCTTCTATTTCTTTAAGGCTTAGTGAAATCCTTCCTGATCTCTTCAACTGAAAACATTGACTTCCCTCTCAATTTTTCCTAGAACATTTTGTCTGGATCTCTCCTTTATCCTCATCATTCCCTAACTTGTCTTACACTTATTGGTACATTACATATCCTTTAGTAGAATGCAAGTTCTTTGAAGGCCGGGCTTGTGTCTTGTCATCCTTCTGTCCCTAGAACTTTCCTTATCTCCCTATATGTTCTTCCCACAAAAGGGTTCAATGTTCAATATGGGTATCACATATGGAATAACTTTTTACTTCCTCCAACACACACACACAGCATCAAAAGACATAACACACAAAGACTTATTGAAACAGACCATTATATCCTTTATACTCCCCCAGAAAAGTAAAATTATTTTTGTCAAACTACTAAAAAAAAATTCCTATTCATATTGGGTTTGTGCCATTTAAGCACCTCACAGAAATATCTTGGAAGATTGGCAAAGGTCTAACATTCTAGGGTTCTCATGGCATGGCTTTCATCCATTAACTGAGAGGTGCTTGCTTCTCTGTAGAGGTTCCTTTCTTCCTTCTCTGGGAAAACATTCTTAGTCTGGGAGGTTTGTGCCCAACTCTTTACTCAGGTACTTTTAAACTCAGTATTACCCAGGGGACAACCCTTAAGTCTAAAAACATCCGTTCTTAGAATCTCTAATCTTTGATTTGGGTTCAGAAAAGGAAATAGAAAAAAAATTCAGCCAGGATTAGGAGGTCCAGTCTCACCTGGGCATTCACAGGCCACTCAAGTCTAGTCTCCTCTCCTATCAGGGCAAGGATTGGTAGAGATCTTCATTAAACCCCTTTTGCCCTCTGGTCTTAAAGTCTACAGGATAAAATAAAGTAGGTAAAACAGCCAACATATTCCCAGATCACTCTTATAGATGACAAAGGAGGTGGACTCTCTGACCAAACTACCTCAATCAACCAATCATAAGGAGGCAGCCTCAACTACTGGCAACCAATCAAAGGAGCTCACTGTATATTTTCTGAACTATATGTTTTGCCTTCTCAGTAATCTCTTCAAGGTGATTGGTGGTGTTATCAAATTGAACAAGTGCCTTTCTGATTACTCTCAATACATAAATTTATAACATGTTTTACATTGATTACATTTTAGCTATAGCTGTGAACATAACACATACCCCCTCCCAACCTGGTAATATGTAGCCTAGTATTTTCGACATAGTACATTTTAAAATGTTTTTTAATTGAATTTAACTCAAGCCCTCTAAATGAAAAGACTTGTTTGTTCGTTGTTAGTTTATCAAAGCACTCTACTCCTCTATTAAAACTAGCTGTCTTTAACAAACTTGTGAGATGAAAGATTTCCTTAGAATCAATTGTCTAATGAGTTTTAAAAAGAACTTCTGCACACTTTCACACAGACACAATCTACTCAGGTATTGAAAATGGGACTGATAAACAGCATGCAGAGGAAAAAAAGTAGGTCCTGGACCCAAAGACTATCCCCAGAAAAACATCATTCAATCATTAAGTTCCACACAAAGGCAGGTAGTCGTATTTAAAGCTTTACCCACATGAGGCTCCTGCCAAGAGCTCTTAACCCTGACCTGGAGTGACTGCTTTCAGGAGTTTAGAAAATAACACAGGCTTAGAGCAACCTGAGCATTTGTTAGCTTGGTAACAAGGGATGCTTCAGGGCTCTTGCTGTCCCTTCAGAGTAGCTGCCAAGCATTCCCTCAAGTGTGTCTCAGTAACTAGCTTTGGGAAAATGGCCTCTGTGTTAGTTTCTGAGTTGAGAACCCAGTTGAAATTAATAGGTTTGGAGTTTCAGCATAAGTTGAACCTTTTGGTTCAAGTTTATTTGGTCTTGACAAACATGCCTTCCTGTTTTCAAAGGAGAAAAGGCTTTAAAGATTTCTTCTTTTTTTTTTAAAGAAAAGCTCAAAAGGCATCTTAGACATCAAATAGCTCTTACAACACAACCTTTTGATGATTTCAGTGTAAATGAAGCAGAAACATATGGATTCCATTTCCAGAAATTACACATGGTCCCCAAAATTAAGGGAAAATGTGCTCAGCACAATATCTTCTGGGCGTTGTGGAGCCCCAAACATCAGAAGAAGAGTTGGAAGCTGATGAATCCAGTATATTTACCCATCTCTATTTATAACACTGGCAAAATGCTCTTGATTCATGAAGGCTCCTAAGCAGCTCACATCTGTTGGTTGGGCAACAAGCAGCAACAACTTCCAAGATAACTATGCTCAGGTCCTTCTGAGCTCAATCTGAGAACAAGGACCCCATAGCCTTTGTTCAATTAGTTCTCCAATAGAACTGGTTTTATTTACTGCTATTGATAAAACCCTGGGTTATTATAGCTGGGAGGGATGTTAGAGATTTCTTACCAGGGATTCTTAATCTGAGGTCTGGGAACTTGCTTTAAAAATATTTTGATAACTGTATTTTAATATAATTGACTTCCTTTGTAATCCTGTGTGTTTTATTTTATTCATTTAAAAACATTTTTTTTCCTGAGAAAAGGTCCATAGGATTCACAGACTTCAAAAAGAGTACACAACACCGAAAACATTTAGGAACTCCTCACTAGTCCAACTCCCTCATTTTATAGATGAGGAAGTAGAAATGATTTTAAGCAGCAATTCACCACTTAATCCTATTTGTATCATTTGTGAGACAATTCCTGAATTTCTTCTACTTCCCAAGATATCATGAAGAATCTTTTGACTTAATACAATACTTTAAAGAGCCCAACACAGTAGGATGTTTCATCAGCAGATCAGAACCCACATTCTGACTCACAAATATACCTCTGTTCTCACTGAGAAATTCCAGGCTATTTTTACCTTTCACAAAACTGTGGCTGTTGTATCTGTGTTCCACACTAAACTTTTTGTTAAAGGAATAAATCAGATTGGTTTTATGGAATAAAAGACATGTTGTTGTCGTTTTTCCCTATGGTCTGTCTCATTGATGCAGTGTTACTGGTATTATTCCATGAATCTGTTCTAAGCCTACACAAAGCCATGTGAGATTTTTTCCCCCAGTGAGCAGAAGTACAAAGTTGACATTATTGAAGTTTAATAAAAACAAATTGACAGGATAATTGACTCTCTTCAAAATAATTACAGAGAATTATACCATTTTAAAGTTGAAAGGGACTGTGTAATTTCTCCTTTCTGTCTATCTAAAATGAGGTTCAATATTTTCAACCTTCATGAGAAGTTTCCTCTTCAGCAAGGCAATTAGTTTTCCAAGAGGTGATCTTTGGGTCAATTCTGAAATGTCTACAATATGACTTGAAAAAAAATTTATTGCTTTTAAACTCCAAGGTACTCAAAAGTCTGTATCATTGTACAGAACATCTTTCAGTAAACTAAAAGACAATAAATCCACTTAGAAATCCTCACTTTAGAAAATAACAACTCTACCCAACCCTCTCCCTCCATAGCACCACACCATCCGTCCCTTTTGTCTCCTTTTCAGATTCCTTTTGTCTTTCCCACACCATAAATATAAGTGTTATTTTAGGTAGTTTTAAACTTTCTTCTTTACTCTGTATACTATCTATTTAGATAATCTCGTCCATTTCTATGATCTCATTTGTCATTCTATATGAGTGACTCCCAAATTTATACTCAGTTTTTTCTCTCAAGCTCAGTCCTACATTTACCAGGTGCTGGACATCTCTACCTGGATATTCTGCCAAATATTTGAAACTCAATATGTCAAAAATTAACCTCGTCATCTATTCCCCCCAAAACTCTGTTATTCCTTCCTTCTTTTAATGGCACATGTTCTTAGTCACTCCTGCTTAAAACCTCAGAGTTTTCTTTAATACTTCCCACTTCCTCACCTCCCCACACCCAA